CGGTTGTAGCAGGAAAAATGCAGTATCAAGATGGTACGAATAGTTGTTATTGGGTGATTAATGTTTTTTAAATTTAGTGTTTTTAATTAATGTTCTTAATCTCTATCATGTATCTTCTCATGTATACCGAGATTGTATATTCCCGATATGTGCGATCTGTAATACAGAGCCGGGGCTTTACTACAAGAAGAAAAAGCCTTGGCTCCCGGTGCTGTGAAAGAAGATTCCAATAAGAGGAAATGCCTGAATTGCAGACGGGAACACAGTTGAACCTGTAAACGCCGAATACTGACTTGCGCTTGTATTTTCTCCTGACTTGGGTGCAGCACTTGGCGTTCTGTCCTGTCCCTTAGGATGTCAGGCTATAGCCATGTGTTTGCGCATTAAGCAAAGCACAATTTTGGGGGGGGGTGGCGGGGTGCACAGACTGCTGTCTTCAGTTGCGATAATACCAAACGAACATTTCTGGAGTCCACTTAAAAGAAAAGCTGTTCTTGCTGCGGATCAGAAGTGGACATTGAGTCATGAGGATCTGTTTGCATTTGTGCAGCTCTTGTAATTAATCAGAGCTGTGCCCTCGCGAGAGGTCTGGCTGCTGGAGCGCTCGCGGGTGCTGCGTGAACAATCTTCAGGCAAATGCCACTCTTCCTTTTGACATTTTAACAGTCTGAGGAATGCGGTGGGTGTCAGTGGGGAATAATCCAACTGGCACGGCACTGTATCAGAACGCGATTCAAAGGCTGCTTGTGTAAGTAATCAGGCACTTGTGTGTTATGAAATGTAGTGAATTATAACATCAGTAAATATTTCTGTAATATTTCTTGTAAATAGTGTTTTGTTAAGCTTTATTTAAATAGACTTAATGAATTGGAGGCGCTCATTCATCCGACAGAAATCAAAGGCGTTGTAGGAATGTGCCTCCTATTGTCAATAAAAGCATATTAAGACCTCGTTTTGGAGTAGTGATACTGAATTTAGGAATTGCAGGCAGTTCTTAGGAATGTTTCATGTAGGCAAGTTTACCCCATAGTTTTGGGGCAAGATCTGTGTTTTCTGGTTCAGATTTCTGGCAATCTGCCTGTTATTCCTATAGTTTTTGCTCAGTGTTCACTGCAGCCTTGGATTGTACTGACTGGCAGTGTGAACAGGCTGGCACCTGACGAGCTGTCAGGAATTTTCCCTGTTCTTTTGAAGCAGCTAAAATGGAGTAGATATTTGGTAGAACGAGTAAAGGGAAATTTGGACTTTCCTTGCTGTGGCTAAGAGGGGCCAAAGAGGTTTGTGATGACCATAGAGTATGGGCCCGGCAGTAGTGATGCCCTGGGTACTTGGGTCACAGTATTTCAGTGCAGGTTAGTACCAGACATGAGAGCATGCGGCAGGTTTGCAAGAGGAAGCTTCTTACAAGTAAATAAACTTGTAATGGGCTCTGTGCAGAAATTTTGCGGAATGAGCTCTGTATGGTTTGATTTGGTGTGTCATGTTTGTCTGTTGAGACTCAGTTACAAAATGGTTAGTGCCTCCAGAATTGAGTTTGTCTGGACTTGATCTAAAAATTTCCTGATGCGTGGTTTTTTTTATCCTGTTTGTTTGTTTTTTCTTCTCCTTCCCTCTCTCTGCCATAAATAGTCACTTGGCTGTTTGGATGAAGGAATAGAGGAATACCAGATACGATGCATGCACATGGTCGCATTGCCATCCCTTCGTGAGCTGTAACTGTGCTACTTTGATCTGTCTTTTAGCACATCATCACTGTTCTTCACTTCTAGATCAAGTATTGCCAGCCCTATACCTAAAACACATTTACAATCTTGATTTTTTTAAATAAGGCCTAGAAAGCATATACAGTTTGCCTGCTTTTGATGTATGTATTGATCTTTAGCTTAAACTTAATCAGTGAGGTTTAGAAATGTACTTTTTAAATGACAGCTTATGTAACACTTTTAGTAATTAATTCTAGGACATGGGGCTTTTGGGAATGTCAAGTATTGCAAGACGTGGGAATAAACTGCAAGAACTGGCAGTGCTGCGTACAGCACGTGTCACTGATTTGGATCCTTATTGCAGCTTGTAGTAGTTAGTGCTTGAAGGCATTGCCAGACCTCACGTGACTGCCTCTCAGCATCAGTCTTGGACCTCGGTTGTTGCTGAGGTTTGGTTAGGAGTGGGATGGTAATAAGTTGCCTTAGCAGCTGAGGCTGGGGGCTTAAAAGAGTAATGACAAATATGAATTGACCCGGCACTGACTTAAGGCTGTAGTAGCATGTACTACTGCGTCGTGTGACAGGCTGGCCAGCTGGAGTTGCTATGATGACTTGGGTCTGATTGTCATAGAAAGATAATTTTGGGGATGTTTGATTGTTTGAATTTTGAAATTAGTCTGGGATATTTGGATTGTCAGAGTGGCTACCTACCACACTTGGGTGGTCTTTGGTATGTTTGTCATTGGGTGGTGTGGCGGAAGGTGCGGATGCGGTAACTGGAATCTTTCCTCTGTCAATAGTAGTGGTTAAAATGTAAAAGGGTATGAGGTGGCTATTGGTCTTTAACAAGATGTGTTTCCTAAATGAATATAATAATAAAAAATTGAAGGTGTCATAAGGTAGCAGAGAGTCTGCTCTTGTATCAAGATTCTTCTTTCCTTGTGGATTCTCGAGTGTTTGCTAACAGATGATCTTGTGCCAGAGCTGTAGTATGACTTGTTTTAAGAGGAATTGTCTGATTTTGCTATCTATGTATATGTAGATATCTACACAAAAAACACCCCCCAACAAGTCAGTTTGCTGCATTTGGTTGGAATGATATATCCCAAGCAGCCTTGGTATTGCCAAGTGGCATAACTGCGATTGCATGGAAATAAAATGCTACGCTTGGCATTCTTGTTATGGATACAGCATATATTGACAAAACTGTACCTTTTGCTTTGGTATGTTTTATTTCCACCCAGAAGTGGAAACGCTGCAACAGGAGCGCAGCGATGTTGGTCACACATCCCACATTGCATTCCTTTGATGCATGTTTTGGAGAACGTCTCGAAAACCAATGAATTTTCAGTGTTCATTTCCCTTCACTCAAGTAGCTTTTCTCCATCAGTAGCAGTTCCTTGCTTTAAAAGAAAATATTTTTTCATCAGCAAAGTTCTAAGTCTTACAGAACAAGAACTAAAATTGGACAGACATAACGCTTGTCCGACTCATTCTTTAACTCATCTGGGGTGAATACACAGGCAGGCACTTAAGCAGAATGAGACATTAATGCTGGAGTGGAATGGGAATGTCTTCTGGCGGACCAGAAACGGGCATCAAAAAACAAAGGAATTGTTGTCCTCTGTTGTTTTCGTTCTGCCCTGGCCTGTTAGGACTTTGGAGTCCTTGATGAATGGATAGGTGATGTATGACTGAAATTTGCAGTTGACTTTATATTCTGGAACTTGTCTGCTTTAGACCACCATTGAAATGAATAATCTAACTTTTATCTGTAGAGGCTTACTAAGCAGAGCTGATAACTTTGTAGAGAAATGTCTTGCACTGACAATCCATTTTCCCCTCTGTGTTTCTTCTGAAAGCTTTATAATCTCAGTATTGAAAGTAATGGACTTCTTGGCTGAGCTAAGAATGCTTTCCTAAATCCCGGATTAACCAGCAACCCAGCAGTTAGTGTGCTTCTATGGTAGCAGGCAGTTCAATTTGTTGTGTGGGGTTTTTTGGTTTTGGTGGGGTTTTTTTGGTTGGTTGGGGGTTTTTGTTTGTTTGGTTTTTCTGTCTGTTGTTTGAATCTTAGTCCTGAATGGGAGTGAGTGCCCTGATTGAGACTTGCCACTTTCCCTGCTGATCAATTTTTGAGTCTTGGTAAGCAACTTGAGTGAAGGATAGACTTGGGTCTCAATTTCCAGCCTCGTAGCCTCTGCTGAATTGCTGATTCTTAGAGATTGGCAAGGAGGTTTAGCTAGAGAAAACAGGGGAGAGGGTTTTCTCGTTTCTGTGATCTGCGCCCTTACTCTTCTGTCCTCGAGCTGCTGCAAATAGGGCTGCATCTCAGTAGTGAATTAGAAGTATTCTGTTTACTTCTCTGTTAAAGATGGCTTTAAGATCACTTTTCTGTTTCCTCAACTCAGCATTGCACTGTTCTCTTATGAAGCATATATCTAAAATAGAATCTTTATATTTGAAGGAATTTCTAAATTTAGGAAGTATTCTATTGGAACCAATACTTTTAAGGCCATCACATCTTGCTGATGGTGTATTCTGATAATTGCAGCTAAAGAATGCATTCAGCATGAATGGGCTTGATATGAAGCATGGTACAGAAGTTAGAGCTTCCCAAGGACTCTAGAAGATATTAAGGATTCCCCCCCGCTCCCCCATCTTGCTTTAGAAAGTATATACTCTGTGTGTGTGTAATTTCCCTTTAATTCAGTTTTAATGGAGTACCCGGAACGATAACTGTGTAAGTTCAATTAGTAGCAGAGATGGTGAGCTGAAGAGAAACTTTGTGCTCTGTACCCTCTTCCAAAGCTGTTTTAAACCATATTTGGGAAAACAAAAAAGACTTTTATTCCAAAAACATTGTAAGAGATCTATTTCTTAGATCTGGTAGTTTGTTTTTAAGATAAGTTAAAAGGGAAGATGTAATAATCAAACGAATCTCGGTACTATGAATGAATGACTTTCCCTCAGCACTGCTGATCAAATGAAACGCTAGTGAGTACGTTATGCTAGGTATTTCATCAAGGGGCCTCGGCCCCACTTCATATCTGCCATATCTTCTAACTAGTTTGGATAGTGGAAATGGTCTAGGAGGTGAGGTAAGTGTAAATATTTTGTAGTCTTCTGTTTAAAGAAAGAAATAAAAAAATTGCAAGTTTCCTGATATGCAGTTGATCTTTGTATGTTAGGTTTGTATTGGGATAGAGGTAAACTGTGTTAAATAAGGTGGTTTCATCCAGAGTGGCTCATTCACTAGCTAAAATGAATTGGGTTTGTTTGGTTTTTTTTCTTCAGGAGTTGTAGAAGGTGATTTAGCTGCTGTTGAAGCTTACAAGTCATCAGGAGGAGATATTGCCCGCCAGCTTACTGCAGATGAAGTACGCCTGCTAAATCGCCCTTCTGCTTTTGACGTTGGGTACACACTTGTACATCTGGCAATACGCTTTCAGAGACAAGATATGCTAGCAATTTTGCTTACGGAGGTGAGTTACTTTGGCCCTTGCATAGAGTGAATAGGAACCTCATGTAACCGTACCATTGTTTGCAGCCAGTGACATGTAACTTTATTTGCTGGAAGATAGAGGCTAGTGTTATTAGACTACATGAATTACTGCTTTGTGCCTTTGTTGATGTTTCTACTTAAGAAGCAAGTTTACTTTAAGACTGTATGTATGTGGTGGTCTTGAGGACGTTCAGTTTTCTCCTTAATGAGCGGTCTTGGCACAGGTTCTGACCTTACTGGCGGTGGAAGTGAGCTATTGTGAGGCTTCCTGCGCTTTGGGTGGGGGAGAGGAAATGCCCTGAAAGCAAAACACAGACATCAATGACAGTGTAGTCTTTTCTGAATTTTGTTAATGAATCAGTCTACCTGGTCTTTCTTCCCTGGTTTTCTTTGGAGCTGCTTTTCTAAAGAAAGGCAAATTTCTTGCTTTGCAAAATTGCTGCATTTTTTTCCACTCTTTGCCCACTTTATAGCCTGGTTGGTTCCTCGCTGTGGTCTCTTTGCTCTTGCATGTTCCATTTCCCTGTATATTTTTGTACGGTCCACCTCACTTCTGGTGATCTTTGCCCGCCTCCATCTTTGCCCTCCTCCTAAGCCCATAAGTAATTCCGTTATCTTTTTTTGTCTGTTTTCTTCACCTCAGACTTCTGGTTCCTCACCGGATCAGAGCCAAATTTTTATTCTGCCTCCTTCCCTCTTTTGATGCTTAATGCAATTCTGAAAGCGCGTGTTCCTGAGAAAAGTAGTGTGCCCGAGAAGCGCCTAAGGATGATGGAATGCGTAGGGTTGAGTAATTAAAAAGAGTAGAAGTAGTAAGACAAAGGTAGCTAAAGCCTTGAGAAGAGTATATATTTATGTATAGCTAATATCAGTAGTTTTGTGCTGCTTACTTAGCTTTCTGGGGGGATGGAGTTACACATTTAAAAACAAGTTAATTTGCTGAAATACTGTCTTCCAGGTTTTTTTTGTTTGGTTTTGTTTCAGTTTCTAGGAATACTTACTCAACATACCATTTGTGGAAATGCTTAGTAGTGTTTGAGCCACAGTGATACTTTCCTTTTCTAGGGTATTAACTAGTGAAAATGTTTTAAAGGTTGTTTTTTGTTTTTTTTTTTTAAATATATATCTGATGTCATCCCTGTGTCACTTGCCCTGTATCATTGAATGCGTTCCTGCTGCCAGTGGTGACTAGAATCTGGAGAAATTTAAGCATCTTAGCTTAATAGTTTTTGGGAAGATCCTTTGTAGGAAACTCTCTTGCGCTGTGGTAATGAAGTTCTTTGTTAAATGTAGACTGGGCTCGTGCATAAGATTTGAGGTATATTCCCTATTGTTTCTAGCTCTTATCTATTTTTTTTTGCTTTCCTTTTCCTGCTGGAATTGGTCACGTGTTAATTCACTTCTTTGATTTAAAGAGGTTTTTAACCAGCTTTATGTTATCAGCTACATGACAAATGAGACATTAATTCATTGAAAGTCACTAAACATTTAGTCTTTCAGGGTACCAGTGTTTATACTTCTGTTGCATGACTTGCTAACAAAATACTGTCCGCTGGTGGTTATCACACCTAAGTCTTCGTATTTAACTAGAAATAATACTGAGCGCAGTAATTGTGTTATGTTACAGGTATCACAACATGCAGCGAAGTCCATTCCTGCCATGGTGTGTCCAGAGGTCACAGAACAAATTCGTCGTGAAATTGCTGCATCTCTTCATCAACGAAAGGGAGACTTTGCTTGCTATTTTCTGACTGACCTTGTAACGTTTACGTTACCTGCAGGTAGTTACAAAATTCTTCTTACTGATGGAAGATTTTTTTTTTTTGTCACTTCCTTGAGAATTGCTTGTTTTGGATGTGTACTTTAACTTTCTGATGGTGGTGGTGTGTGTGTATAGGTTTTATTTATTAAGTTCTAATAGCTTAGGTCAGATTTAGTAGTTGAATTTGCTTATTAATATTCAGTTTTGGCACACTTTAACCCATATGTCGTTCCTTTGAAGAGAACATCTGTTGTCCTCTTTAGACACGAAGAAATTGAAGAAAAGTGGTGTATACTAAGGAAAGGGTGTGTTTAAAGTTAAGATTGGAGCCCAGATGTTTCTGGGCTCTAGTATGATTTTTCACACAGCTATGTTAGTCCTTTCTGTTAAGGCCCAGAGCTATTCTTTGCATTTGTACCCGATTATAGCAATAGCACTTTTTAAATACTTTTGAGGCACTCTGCAATCAAGAGAATGTTTGTCTTAACAAAATACTATTAGAAGACTTCTAATCTTCAGTAGCTGTTTTGTTTAATAGAAATGCTACCAGAGGTAAGAAAATGTGTAGACGGAAACTGTATTAATCAGCAGATCCGTTTGTCTTTTTTATAAAACAGTAGCATTATAAGAATTATATTTGGAACCTCTTTGGTTGAGTGTTACCTCCTCTCCTCCTCTTCAAAAAGTCTGGATAATATTTACCACTTGTCTACAGCTATCGGTTTGAGTTGCTGTATTCAGTCTTATTCTGTGGGTCATGTATGAGAAGCAGACGGCGTGGGTGTACGAAGTGTCTAGAGACTAACACTTCATTGCTGTTTGGGGGAGAGAAGGGA